TTTTTATATTATTATTTATTTTATTTTTTTTACATACTGTCACCCTAGCAGTACAGTGTCACCATGGTGACACTGTACTACTTGTGGGGGGTGATGAAAATTATTTTTTTTTACACTGATTGCTTTTACACCCATAAAGGCTGTAAACACAATCATTTCTCCTCTCTAGCTGCATTCTTGCAGCCATTGAGAACTACTGTGTGAGCTGTGATTGGTCACAGCTTGTCACATGGTACAAGGCTGTTGTGAATAGCCTTGTACCATGTGACCTCTGTGATCATTCACAGATTTCACACATAGTCAGCAATGATGTCAGAAGTGACATCTTGCTTACTACTCTGCATGTGATCACTGATTGGCCAGTCAGTGATCACATGATCGGGACCTCGCACAGAGGTCCCATCCGACAATCGGTGTTCCACTTTATAAACGGCCACCCAACCCTGCGGTGCCACCGTCTGGCCCTTTATTTACATGGGCCAGAGGGGAGGTGATTAACAAGGGAGGCCCCGATCCTGGCTCCCCTTAACATGAATGAGTTTGGGGCATATACAGTGCAGGAAAAAGTATTTGCCCCCTTCCTGATTTTTTTTTTTTTTAATTTAATGTTACACAAAGATAACCCAAGTAAATACAAAATGCAGTTTTCAAATGATTTTATTTATTAAAGGAAAAAAGCTGTCCAAACTAGCCTGGCCCTATGTGAAAAAGTAGATGCTTCCCCACCCCTTGCTAAAGCATGAATGAACTGTGATTAACCACGTTTTTTGGAAAGCTGAGTTAAATTTCACTTGCCACACTCAGGCCTGATTACTGCCAGACCTGCTGAATCAAGAAATCATTTTATTAGAAGCTGTCTGACAAAGTGAAACACGCTAAAAGATCTAAAAAAAGCAACACATCATGCCGTGATCTAAAGAATTTCAAGAACAGATGAGAATCAAAGCCTGACATGTATCAATCTGGAAAGGGTTACAAAGCCATTTCTGAGGCTTTGGTACTCCAGCGAATCACAGTGAGAGCTATTATCCACAAATGGAGAATACTTGGAACAGTGCTGAACCTTCTTAGGAGTGGCTAGCCTACCTAAATTGCTCCAAAAGCACAATGATAACCATGGGCGTTTTATGAAATCAGTGGACCTGTGTGCAGGATCATTAGTTGGGCCCCAGACACAGAGGAAAAGAAAACTGGGTGTGGTTTAAATTTCACTCAATATTGGGAGTAACCCTAAAGGTCATCAGTTTAGAGTGAATTGTGAATAATGGGCTTAGAATTAATATTCTTATTCCAGCACAGCAATATGTAACATGTTTAGTACAAGCGATGTTTTCATAAGTAGGTGCCCCTGGCGAATGTCTTTAATGAGACACCAGGAGACTTTTAGACCCCAGATGTCTTACATGCCCGCCATTGAAGCTTAAAAGCACAGATTGCCCTCTATTAGCTTCTGTGTTGTGAGGAAACCGCAGCAGGCAGTGTGAAAGGTGCCTTAAGGAGGTCAGGGCATCTAAGGAGTAGAGGATGGGTATGGGGGGTTCTGAGGAGGAGAGAGTAATTTGGCAGGTTTGAGGAGGAGAGGAGGGTCTGGGGTAACCTGAAATGCAGAGGGGATCTGAGTTGTAGAGAGGGGGGAGGCCTGTATGTCTTGAGGAGAAGGGAGTCTGATGAGTAGAGGGGCAGTCTAGGGGGGTGTGAGGAGGAAAAGGGAGGTCTGGAGGGGTCTGAGGAGGAGAGGGGAGACTTACGAGGGAAGGGGGTCTGCAGAGGTCTGGGAGGGGGTCTGAGGAGGAGAGGGAGGGTCTGAGGAGGAGGAAGGGGTCTGAGGAGGATAGAAGGAAGGTCTGGGGCAGGGGTCTGAGCAGGAGATGGGGGTTCAGAGAGGGGAGGTCTGAGGAAGGGTCTGATGAGGAGGGGAAGGGTTTGAGGAGGAGAGAGGGGGGGTCTGAGGAGGAGAGGGGCAGTCTGGGCGGATCTGAGGAGGAGAGATTTGTCTAAAGAGAAGAGAGTTCTGAGGAAGAGAGAGGGAGTCTGAGAAGAAGAGGGAGTATAAGGAGGAAAGGGGAGTCTGAGGAGAATAGGGGTGGGATCTGAGGAGAAGGAGGTGGTCTGAGGAGGAGAGATAAGATCTGGGATGGGTCTTAGCAGGAGGGGGGGAGGTCTGAGCAGGACAGGGGAGCCGGGGGTTCTGAGGAGGAGAGGGGTGGTCTGGGGAGATTAAGAGGAGGAGAGGGGTAGTCTGGGGGGTCTGAGGTAGAGAGGGGAGGTGAGTAGGGGTCTGTGGAGGAGAGAAGAGAGGTCTGGGGGGGTCTGAGGAGGAGAAGGGGGTTCAGAGAGGAGAGAGGGGAGGTCTGGGGAGAGAGGAGGGGTCTGAGGAGGAGGGGGAGGGTCTGAGGAGGAAGGGGATTGAGGAGGAGGGAACGGTCTGAGGAGGAGGGAAGGGTCTGAGGAGGAGAGGAGAGGTGTGCAGGGGTCTGAGGAGGAGAGGAGAGGGGAGGTGTGGAGGGGTCTGAGGACGAGAGAAGAGAGGCCTGGGGGGGAGGTGTCTAAAGAGGAGAAGGGGATTCAGAGAGGGGAGGTCTGAGGAGAGAGGAGGGGTCTGAGGAGAGAGTGTTCTAAGGAGGAGAGGGGGTCTCTGAGGAGGAAGTAAGGGTATGAGGAGGAGAGGGGAAGTTTGAGGGGGTCTGAAGAGGAGAGAGGGAGTCTGAGAAGAAGAGGGGGTCTGAGGAGAAGGGGGGTTCTGAGGAGAAGGGGGGGTTTGAGGAGGAGAGCAAAGGTTGGGGGGGGGGTCTGAGGAGGAACGGAAAGATCTGGGGTGGGTCTGAAGAGGAGAGGGGGGAGGTCTAGGGGGGTCTGAGGAGGACAGGAGAGTCTGGGGGGTTCTGAGGAGAGGGGGCAGTCTGGGGAGATTCTGAGGAGGAGAGGGGCGGTCTGATAAGGGGAGGGGGTCTGAGAAGGAGAGGGGTGGTCTGAAGAGTAGAGGGGAGGTCTGAGGAGGAGAGGGGGATCTGAGGAAGAGGAGGGACTGAGGTAAAGAGGGGGGGTCTTAGGAGGATAGACAGTCTGGGGGGTTTGAGGAGGAGAGTGGAGTCTTGGGTGGGGTCTGAGCAGGAGAGAGGCAGTCTAGGAAGGAGAGGTCTGGGAGGGGGTCTGAGGAAGAAAGGGAGGTCTGAGGAGGAGAGGGGAGGTCTGGTGGGTCTGAGGAGGAGAGGGGGGGGGAGGTCTGAAAAAGAAAGAGAGGTCTGGGGGAGGGTCTGAGGAGGAGAGGGTGGTCTGGGCGGGGGAGGTCTGAGGAGAGAGGGGTCTGAAGAGGAGAGTGGGGGTCTGAGGAAGACAGAGGGGTCTGAGGAGGAGAGGGGAGGTCTAATGAGGGGAGGGGGACTGAAGAGGAGAGGGGCTGTCTGGGGGTTTGAGGAGAGGGCCGGTCTGGGGGGTGATCTGAGGTGGAGAGGGGCGGTCTGGGGGGGTAGCGGAGAAGAGGAAAGGTCGGGGGGTCTGAGGAGGCGAGTGGCGGTCTGCAGAGGACAGAGGGAGGGTCTAAGGAGGAGAGGGGCAGTCTGAGCAGGAGAGGGAGGTCTAAAGAGGACAGAGGCGGTCGGGGGGGGGGGTCTGAGGAGGAGAAGGGCAGTCTGAGGAAGAGAAGGAGGACTAAAGAGGAGAGGGACGTCTAAAGCGGAGAGGGGGCCATTGGAGTGGGGGGGGGGGGGGCTGAGGAGAGGGCCAGTCTGGGGCGGTGGTCTGAGGAGGAGAAGGGCAGTCTGGGAGGGTCTGAGGAGGAGAGGGGCGGTCTGGGGGGCTTTGAGGAGGAGAGGGGAAGTCTGCGGGGGTCTGAGAAGAGGGGTGGTCTGGGGGGGGTCTGAGAAGAGGGGCGGTCTGGGGGAGGGGGTGAGGAGAGGGCCAATCTGGGGGGGTGGGTCTGAGGAGGAGAGGGGCAGTCTGGGGGGGGGGTCTGAGGAGGAGGGGGTGGTCTGAGGGGTTCTGAGGATGAGAGGGGGGTCTGCGGAGAACAGTGGGGCCTGGAGAGGAGAGGGGCAGTCAGGGGGGGTCTGAGGGAGGAGGAGAGTGGCAGTCTGGGGGGGGTCTAAGGAGGAGCGTTGCAGTGTGGGGTCTAAAGAAAAGAGGGAGCGGTCTGAGGAGGAGTGGGAGGTCTAGAGAGGAAAGAGGCAGTCTGGGGGGGGGGATCTGAAGAGAAGCGGGGCGGTCTGGGAGGGGTCAGAGGAGGAGAGGGGAGGTCTGGAGCTTAGTTGCCCCCCTCTCCTTTGTACTTACAGATCACACTGTAAGGCATCTTCTTCTTCCTTCATTCTCCAGTCATGTGACATGACAATGGGAGAGAGCGGAGGCACGGCAGTGTGTCCTCACATCACAGCAGCACTATGCTGAGACTGAGGGCAGTTCTCAGCACCTACTCTCTATTACCACCTGCAGACTGGAGGGAGAAGAAAACCAAATCCTTTCTCCTGCCGCAGCTATCAGCTGTTGCTCTCTCTGACAGGAGTGATTCCAACATGCCCGCCGAACATCCCCCACCCCCCTTGCTTGCCCCCCCCATCCAGGAGGTCATTAACCACTAGCCTACAGGGCACTTATACCCCCTTACTGCCCAGGCCAATTTTCAGCTTTTAGCACTGTCGCACTTTGAATGACAATTGCACGGTCATGCAACACTGTACCCATATGAAATTTTTATCTTTTTTTCAGACATATAGAGCTTTCTTTTGGTGGTATTTAATCACCTCGGGGTTTTTATTTTTTGCTAAACAAACCAAAAACAACAGAAAATTTAAAAAAAAAAAAAAAATTTTCTTAGTTTCTGTTATAAAATTTTGTAAGTAAGTGATTTTACTGCTTCACTGATGTGCGTTAATGAGGCTGCAGTGATGGGCACTGATAGGCTTTACTGAGAGGCGGCACTGATGGGCACTGATGAGGAGGCACTGGTAGGTGGCACTGATAGGCATTGACAGGCATCACTGATGGGCACTGAAAGGCATATGTGGCACTGATACCGGTGGCACTGACTGGAACTGTTAGGCGGCACTGATGGGCACTGATAGGTGGCACTGATTCGCAGCACTGATAGGCAGCACTAACTGGCATTGATAGGTGGCACTGACTGGCACTGAAAGGCAGCTCAGATGGGCACTGATATGTGGCATTGATGTGCACTAGTAGGTACTGATATGTGGCACTGATGGGCACTGACAGGTGGCACTGCTGGGGCTACACTGATCATCAGTGCTCTGATGATCTGTGTACATGTCCCCTCCGAGGAATGCCGATTACCAGCTCTCCTCTCCTCTCGAGCTGTCAGCGTGACAGCTCGTGAGGAGAGAAATGCCGATAACCGGCATTTCCTTATTTACATGCGATCAGCTGTGACTGGACACAGCTGTTCACATGACAGAGCTGACATCTTCGGCTCTTTCCGTTGATCAGTGATCTGCTGTGTCCCAGGGAGGGACAGTGGGAGGATGTCATATGACGTCCTCCCAGAACGAGAGAACCGCATTGCGTCCGTCATTTCCTTATATGGTGGGCGGGAGGCTGTTAAAGAACCCACAACAATATCTGAAGAACTGCAGGCCTTACTTTCCTCAGTTAAAGTGTTATTAAACCCACAACAGTAAAATCAGTGAATATGCAGTAAAGCATGCTTGTTATACTCGTAGATCCTAAGGGGTTATTCCTCTGCATTGTGTAAAAAGGATGTTTGATCCTGACTTCTCTGATACTTCCCTTCTTCTACTGTCCCCAATCCATCTTCTGATAGAACAGAGCCGTGGGGGCAAGCTGCACATGCTGTTTTGGTGTGTATTGCTAGAGAGTTTTTTTTTCTTGGGAGAGTGCATGTGATCAGCACAGGGCCAATCAGCATTGTCCAAACATAGGGTCAGGGGTCCTGCAGGACAATCAGGGGAGAATGCAAACTCCTCCTACAAGCTTTAACCAGTCCTCTGCTGGATATTGATAGAAGTCACAAGAATGCTCTAACTGTTGATGAGTTCAGGTATTTAGCAATTTATATCTCCTACAATAATTGCATTTCCATGTTCTGTGTACTGTGGGAGAGAAGATATAGTGAATGCAGGGTCCAGGGTTTAGTAACACTTTAATGTCAGTGTTCATGAATCAACAATGAGAAAGAGACTGGGCAAAATAGGCATCCATGGGAGAGTTCCAAGGCGAAAGCCACTGCTGACCAAAAAGAACACAAAGGCTCATCTCACATTTGCCAAAAACATTTTGATTATCACCAAGACTATTAGACAAATGGACTGTAGACTGATGAGACAAGAAGGTTTGAGTCCTGTTACATCTGGCGTAGAACTTACTAACACAGCATTTCATAAAAAGAACATCATACCAAAAGTCAAACATGGTTGTAGTAGTGTGATGGTCTGGGACTGCTTTGCAGCTTCATGATCTGGACGACTTGCCATAATTGATGTAACCATGAATTCTGCACTCTACTAGAAAATCGTGAAGGAGAATGTCTGGCCATCGCACAGGTCATTCATGCTCGAAACCCCTCCAATGTGCCTGAATTAAAACAATTCTGCAAAGAAGAGTGGGACAAAATTCTTCCACAGTGATGTGAAAGACTCATTTGCAGTGATCACAAATGCTTGATTGCAGTTGTATGCTGCCAAGGGTGGCACAACCAAATTTTAGGTTTAGTGGGCAATTACTTTTTCACATAGGGCCAGGCAGGTTTGGATAGCTTTTTTTCCCTTAATAAATTAAATCATCATTTAAAAACTACATTTTGTATTTACTCAGGTTATATTTGTGTAATATTAAAATTTATTTGATGATCTGAATCATTTAAGTGTGACAAATATGAAAAATAAATCAGGAAGGGGGCAAATACTTTTTCATAGCACTGTAGTACCTCTACTTAATCACCAAAAAATGCAAAGTAAATAAAAACACACAGCCAGTTCTTAAAAAGTCCTTTATTCAAAACCCCCTCCAAAAAAAAAAAAATGTCCCCCGAAGTAGATCCAACAACAACCACGATGAATGCCAGCTTCCGACCCAAACAAAAAAAAAAACAACCTGCACCAACAACCACCACCCCAGGGTTGTGGGGAAGGGGCTCTTGTTGACCTCTTGGTCCCCTCCCCCAATGCACCCTCCCATGTTGAGGGCAAATGACCTGGTATGGTATTCAGTGACAGGCCTTTCTCGTCCCCTCTCCCCTTTCCTGGCCTGCCTGCTGGGATAAGGGTCTGGTATGGATTTAGGGGGACCCCAAGCCATTTTTAAAAAATGTTTGGTGTAGGGTTCCCCTCAAAATGCATACCAAACTTAAGGATCTAGTATGGATTTTGGGGAGGACCCCAGGCCTTTTTTTTTTTTTTTTTTTACTTTTGGTGTGGGGTTTCCATCAAAATCCATACCAGGCCTGGTGGGTCTGGGGTCAGTTTATGCATTTTTTCTAGTGCAATACCACATAAACTGACAGTGAATTGACGATTTGAATATTGCATTAGATAACTGGAACAATATGTGTCAAATGATCCAATTATTTCATGCGATATTCTCTAGTATATTAATCCCAGTGTCTCTTTACTGGATTTTTATAATTTTTATCTTTCCATAGAAAAATCTCCTACTCTTCATGCCTTATATATGTCATCAGTTTTATGCAGTACCTATATTTGTGAGCAACTATTTTCATGGATGAAGCACACAGGGCAAAATTAGAACCAAAATATTGGATGAGCACCTTGAGAATGCATTGAGAAATACTACTATAGCCATCGAACCAGATACCAATGCATTCGTTTATCAAACTCAAATATCACATTAGTTTTATGTTGCCCTCTTTTACTTTTATAATTAAAAAATTATACTCTTTCAAACTTACAATCTAGGAGGGAGGGGGTAGTGGAACAATAGGAAGTGGCTGAGGGAATGAAGTGGCTGAGGGGGATGAAGTGGTGGGAGGAATGAGGGAGGATGGCCGTTAGGTGAGGGTGGGGTAGGCTTCCCTGAAGAGATGGGTTTTGAGGGAGCGCCTGAATGTGGGGAGGGAAGGCGACAGTCGGATGGATTGGGGCAGTGAGTTCCAGAGGATAGGGGAGGACCTGGAGAAGTCCTGCAGTCGTGCATGGGAGGAGGAGACCAGGGAGCAGGATAGAAGGAGGTCCTGTGAGGAGCGAAGGGTACGGGTAGGGTGGTACTTGGGGATCAGGTTGGTGAGGTAGTCAGGGGCTGTGTTGTGAACGGCTTTGTAGGTCAGGATTAGAAGTTTAAATTTGATGCGTTGGGCAATCGGGAGCCAGTGGAGGGAGAGGCAGAGGGGGGTGGCAGAGGTGGAGCGGGTGGTGAGGTGGATGAGTCTGGCCGCTGAGTTCAGGATGGTCTGGAGCGGGGAGAGCCTGCACTTGGGTAGGCCAATGAGAAAAGAGTTGCAGTAGTCAAGGCGTGAGATGATGAGGGAGTGTACAAGAAGTTTGGTGGTGTCTGGGGTGAGGAAGGCACGTATCTTGGCAATATTGCGGAGATGGAGCCTGCATGTGTTTGCAAGTGATTTGACATGAGGGAGGAAGGAGAGGTTCGAGTCAAGAATGACGCCAAGGACTTTGGCTTGCGGGGCGGGAATGATAGTGGTGTTGGTGGTGGTGATGGATAGGCTGGGGGGGGGGGGGGGGTGTGTGGGCAGGGGGAAAGACGAGGAGTTCGGTTTTGGAGAGGTTAAGCTTGAGGAAATGGAGTGACATCCAGTCTGAGATGTCGTTTAGGAGGTGAGTGATGCGGGCGGAGATAGTGGGGGTGAGGAGAGGGGTGGAGAGGTAGATTTGGGTGTCATCAGCATAGAGGTGAAGTAATTGAAGCCATGGGAGTGTATGAGTGTGCCCAGGGAGGAGGTGTAGATGGAGAAGAGAAGGGGTCCAAGGACAGAGCCTTGGGGGACCCCAACAGAGAGGGGGAGGGTGGGGGGAGGTGGTACCATTGTAGGTGATGCTGAAGGAGCGTCGGGATAGGTAGGATGAGAACCAGGAGAGAGCGGTATCTCTCATGCCAAGGGAGAGTAGTTTATTAAGGAGGAGGGGGTGGTGGTCGACTGTGTCGAAGGTAAAGCTTCACTTTGCAAAGAATACCCAATCACATGCAAGGAAAATATAAAATAAAGAACTGCATTTCTGCTTGGACAGTTTGGATGATGGCAGTGAGTAATTCTGCTCAGTTACTAAACTCTGGGTCAACAGCAACAGCATTTGCAAGGTGCTCAGTCTATTTGCCTTTTAGTAAATCAACCCCTATGTGTGTGTATGTATGAGATGACACTACACACATCTACGCTACACAATACTATACACACCTATACCCTTATTGACTGTATGAGAGGAAGAGGACAACACTGCAAAACTATACACATTATAAACTTTACCCTACACTAAGCTACACACATTACACTACACTATACTGCCATATATTACACCAATCTATATACATTACACTGCACTATACTGCCATATATTACACCAATTTATATACATTACACTACACTATACTGCCGTATATTACACCAATCTATATACATTACACTACACTATACTGCCGTATATTACACCAATCTATATACATTACACTGCAACTATACTGCCGTATATTACACCAATCTATATACATTACACTACACTATACTGCCATATATTACAACCAATCTATATACATTACACTGCACTATACTGCCATATATTACACCAATTTATATACAATTACACTGCACTATACTGCCATATATTACACCAATCTATATACATTACACTGCACTATACTGCCGTATATTACACCAATCTATATATACATTACACTGCAAAACTATACTGCCGTATATTACACCAATCTATATACATTACACTGCACACTATACTGCCTTATATTAATACCAATCTATATACATTACACTACACTATACTGCCATATATTACACCAATCTATATACATTACACTGCACTATACTGCCATATATTACACCAATCTATATACATTACACTGCACTATACTGCCATATATTACACCAATTTATATACATTACACTACACTATACTGCCGTATATTACACCAATCTATATACATTACACTGCACTATACTGCCGTATATTACACCAATCTATATACATTACACTACACTATACTGCCGTATATTACACCAATCTATATACATTACACTGCACTATACTGCCGTATATTACACCAATCTATATACATTACACTAACTATACTGCCATATATTACACCAATTATATACATTACACTGCACTATACTGCCCATATATTACACCAATTTATATACATTACACTGCACTATACTGCCGTATATTACACCAATCTATATACATTACACTGCACTATACTGCCGTATATTACACCAATCTATAACATTACACTGCAACTAT